ATTTGTTGTTCCTGTTATTGTTACAGCTGTTGTTGTTGTTGTCCAAGCAAATATTCATCATGCCTTCTGTCCGTAGCGAATGGTAATTTGCCATTTGAGAAGTTGTGATCAACATCGCTTTAGTTTTGTTGTTGTTCAAAGCAAGTTTAGATTCATCGGACCAACGTGTTAGGTTCGTCAGGGAATTATTCATTTGTTCTACACCCAGTTGAAAATCTTTTGGTTTTACACTGTTATAGATCGTGGTGTCGTCGGCATACTGATGGCAATTACACAAAGTTCCACAGTTTCGTGAATTCTTCTGATATGTTCTTCCATGCATCATGTGAACGAAGTGCTTTGAAATATTTCTCAGCAAAGCTTCCCATAATGCACAGCACGTTTCTCTTATAATGTTACTGACAGTCGTTCTTCCAACACGATAGGTAAATGACATTGATGTCTGACTACTTCCTGAAGCTAAGAACCTTATTGTAAGGGGTAATCTCTCTGCTGGTGATATTGGTTCACATAACATTCTGGAGACATATGCATTTATCTGCAATTAAATAGAACACTCTAGTTATGTGATTGATTTCACAAAGCGGTTAAGAGATACAAAGAGAGTTCAATGAAATTTTTCATTACCTAAAATACAGTTCTCGATCACCAAGTCAAATTTGGCTCAGGTACTTGATTGTGAAATTCACCACTTGTTTTTCTACGTCGAAATATATCTCAAATCCAAAATCTTCTGGGTTTTATATTTTAAAAATTATAACAAGTGCAAGTGCCAACAGACAATCTTCCTCGTCTTCATCCTCCATTGTGAATGACTGTTGTAGGGAATGGGTACGATTTAACTAACGATGCATGTGTACACAGTTATGCTTGTAGTCTAGTACCTGAATATGAGTTTGTATGCGTTTCATTTACCACAGGTAATCTCAACTGTTTTAGGGTAAAATGACCATGGCGGTCAACATGACATATGTGCCAAAAGCTGAATCCGGGACGAAAGTCCTGAAAATGACCCCGCCCTGAAACGGCAGTGTCGACATGGCTCTAACTTCAGAAAACAAAAAGCGATAGTCTTTCTGAAGTGCTTATAGTGTTTAGAAGGGTTGCTTTTAGGGGTGGTCATTGGAAGAAAAAATTTGTCTAAGTATAATATTTTACAAGAAAATGACCATGCACCACCCCAGGTAAATGGCTAATTATGCATAAAATAATTAATATGCCTGGCAGAAATTAAATATTCTTATTTCCTAAAAAAAATTATCATGGGGTGAAAAACTATGCTTAATTTAATATAAATATTGTCGATTTCATAAGGATTGTCATTGTTTTCTTTAAATATAATACATTTTATTTCACTTACCCCCCACGAAATCACGATTTCAGCCATATTTTGCCGTCTTGTTTGCTTTTTATCGCCGAATCTCGCAAAGATCATCCAGTTATTGTACTTTTACATAATCATAAATGGCTAAAGAAGATTTCAAAGAAGGTTTCATCCACTTTTGAAACAGTGCAGTGTATTTTATCTTCGATATTGTGTCCTTCGATATTGTGCCCTTATATATTTCGTCAAATTGCCGCCATTTTAATGGCTCGCCGCTTCTCTGCCCGATAAATGCTACTTCTTCATTTTCATATGTATTTAGATTACATTATCCAAGAGTACTTCATTGTAGAATAGTCCCAATCGAAAACTTGGAAATATAATTTGTACTTGGGAGGAAAAAATCTCCCATAATAGTTGTCCTGTCAGAATTCATAAGAAGTAATTTAAAAGTCACACGCAAGTTCGCGAAAACACCTCGTGGGTTACATAACAGGGGGTGAATATTTTCACGAAACGTTTGTTCACCACCACAGGCCACAGCAACCTAACTAAGTGCATTATATTTATTGTATATTTGTGATTTATGATAAAAACAAATATTTGCGTATTTTTATCATCAATTATAAAAATACAAAAAATATAATACAATTTAGTTAGGTTGCTGTGGTGGCGAACAAACGTTTCGTGAAAATATTCACCCCCTGTCATGTAGTCCATGAGGTGTTTTCGTGAACTTGCGTGTGACTTTTAAATTATTTCTTTTGAATTCTGACAGGACAACTATTATGGGAGATTTTTTCCTCCCAAGTACAAATAATATTTCCAATTTTTGGATTGGGACTATTCTACAATGAAGTGCTCTTGGATAATGTTATCTAAATACATATGAAAACGAAGAAGTTGTCATTTATCGGGCAGAGAAGTGACGAGCCATTAAAATGGTGGCAATTTGACGAAAAATTGAAGGACACAATATCGAAGATAACATACACTCTGCACTGTTTCAAAAGTGGATGAAACCTTCTTTGAAATCTTCTTCAGCCATTTATGATTATGTAAAAGTACAATAACTGGATGATATTTGCGAAATTCGGCGATAAAAAGCAAACAAGACTGCAAAATATGGCTGAAATCGTGGGGGGTAAGTGAAATAAAATGTATTATATTTAAAGAAAACAATGACAATCCTTATGATATCAACAATATTTATATTAAATTGAGCATAGTTTTTCACCCAGTGATAATTTTTTTTAGGAAATAAGAATATTTAATTTCTGCCAGGCATATTAGTGATTTTATGCATAATTAGCCATTTACCTGGGGTGGTGCATGTCATTTTCTTGTAAAATATTATACTTGGACAAATTTTTTCTTCCAATGACCACCCCTAAAAGCAACCCTTCTAAACACTATAAGCACTTCAGAAAGACTATCGCTTTTTGTTTTCTGAAGTTAGAGCTATGTCGACACTGCCGTTTCAGGGCAGGGTCATTTTCAGGACTTTTGTCCCAGATTCAGCTTTTGGCACATAGGCCATGTTGACCGCCATGGTCATTTTACCCTAAAACAGTTGAGATTACCTGTGGTAAATGAAACGCATACAAACTCATATACAGGTCCTAGACTATTGTGTTTTGACATCTCACTACATTGTGCTTATCCTTATGTTTATTCTTGTGCTTATGTCTAGTGAGGACCATGCAGGCTTTATGCATGGGAAAACAGATAAGATTATCCCCGAGCCAACGGCACACAGCGCCGTTCAGGGCGTAAGCCCGGGGCGAGGGTACTAACCCCCCCCCGGCTATTTACACCCGGGGAAATGAAAGCATTAGCCAAGTCTAAAGTTCGTCAATGAGTGCGGGCGTCGGTCATCAATGATGTTGAGTGGGTGGTCATCCTCACTGATGTCAAAAATATGGCCGATTGCTTGTAGGAGTGGGATGAGCAAAATTTCAATTTTAAAAGACATATATTTGGAAAATCATTTCATACACAACAAGCTTGAAGCAATTTTGTTCGAAGAAATGAGAATTGATTTACTATGGGAAATCGTGAAATATACGGCAAGTTTGCTTTGAATATTTAATGTTTAGTATGTTCACGAATTTTGTTGCTTTAAACTTTTTGCCTAAAAACATGAACTGTTTTCCTTTTCAACAAAGCTCTAAGTTTCATAAATTACCTTTAATTTGAGAAAAAATTTTAAAATGTAAAGGAGAACAAATTGACTTGAAGACTGAACTGAAATTACCTAACAATTTGTTTTATTTGTAACTTATTATGTTTTATTATTAGTTTATCGGCAAATGAAGCATAGTTGAATGAACATTTCAAAACATTTTACAAAGGGTTTCAAGTTAAATTTTACATTTAATAAATCAAGGCTCACAAAATGCAAAATAATATACCTACAGTATATATTTCGGAAATTTATTGTTGTATAGTTAAAAAAGTACGAGTCTTTCAACTATTTTGCAGTTTTGTACAAAAAATATGAAAAAATTAAAAATTTAAGAATATCGTGTTGTCATGGCAACACTTGAGTGTGAGCCTGCATTCAGTGGGCCATTTCTCAATACTTCATGTTAATTTAATGTTTGGAAAATATTGGCGAGGGGTTACTGCATGCATGTATTTCTAGTTTAAATAGATAGTATGTAGCTGGAGCAGAATGCATATTTGCTTTATTCTGCTCTGTGTTTTGGTTGCAAAAATCTGCTGAAATCAAGTTTTAACAGATATTGTTCAAATGTTGCTCCAATTGTTTTATTTTATGAATCACTCTATATGTTAGGGTCTGTCGCAGATGTGTGTTCTTAGTCCACCGTTTAAGTCAGAATTTAGACAATTTGATAGCACAATTTGAACAACACACATAGGCTCATTGTGAATGGATGTGTGTTTTTGTGCTCAGAATTGTTTATAAATTGGATCACAAAACAAGCAGACTCACTATCCTTTTTGTCCTCTATGAATGTGGAATTTGTTGGATGGGCACGGTGATGAGTTTATGCCATAACAAATTATGTTAATAATTTCTTCAATAATCATGTTTGCCCTATTCGTAGTATGACTGCAACTGTATTGTAGAGACATACATTATCTCAAG